ACCAAAATGGACTTATGGTTGTCCAGACTAAAATATTTCAGCTAATATTTCTCCCTCTGTTACTGAGATAACTTTGTTTTTTTACCTCTTCTAATCTGTTTTAATGTGAAATTTTGTGAAAATTAAGTAAAATTATTATTGCAAAGGAGCAAAAATATACCTCATTTTTTTCTCCTGGCCATTTTATATTGGAATATGCAAAGATTCTTGGAATTAGCAAGAATCCCCAATTTGGCATTCTTTTACATCTTCAATGTAACTGCAAATTAATTTAATATTACAAAAGACCTGTGCAATGTACGGGCTGGTGTTAAAAAGATGCCCATGTTACATTCAGTTTCTTAATTGAATTGGTTCATTGGTTGTAGGTGAATTTAATTAAATAGCCCCATATTTAACTTTTTTTATTTTTAAGACTAAAAATCTAAAAATTTTAATAAAAGGATTGGGTAGTAATAGGAAAAGTCTGATATGGGCAACTGCATCTTATACTGTTGTGTTCTTTTCATTTATAACAATTTAGCTTATTTTTAAAACCCATTGCCTTTGCATGGTTAGCACAATTTACTTAAGTCCCATTTAAGGATGTCAAATGGGTCAGGTTAAATGATAAATTTGGCTTGACCCTATTCTATAGAGTTGGGTTAAGGTTAAAATATTTGGCTTTTAAGGTCATATTAGGGTTTTGATTCTTCAATCTGAATCCGGTTTAGGTTTTGGCTGACCCACACCACCAGGTCATGATACCCTATATATATACAAAATATTTGTTTATCCTGTTTTGAGCCCAGCACTAGTGTGTTATCTCAAGAGTTAAGAGGATTAGAGAAAGGTCAGGTTGGATTAGGGTCGGGGTTAGGGGTTCAGATCCTCAGGTTGGCCTAGGTTGTTTCCAATCCAACCTGACCCAGCCCCACTTGCACCCTATTGACTAGAGATTGACTCTGCCCACTTAACAGCATTTCCTGTGGAAGCAAAAAATGCAGCAAATGGACGTAAATTCCAAAAGCACAACCAACTAGGAGAACCTTATCCCATTGAGGTGATAAGTATTAACCATATATATATATATATATATGATATATAGTATTTGGATTTCAATTTATGGTCTACATGTAACCTAAGGCAGCTATCAGTTATATATAAAACATTAAAGTTATTTTATGCAGAAGCGGAGCTAGGATTTTTTATTAAGGGGGCCAAAGTGTAATAAATATGGATAGGGGGGCAAGAGATAAGAAACATTGGTAAGAGGGGCAAAATATATGTAAGATTTAAATAGCTACTATGAGGATTTTCAAGGCATAGGGGGGGCCATGGCTCCCCTATGCCACTCACTGATTTTATGTTTTTGCTAATTCTACCTTTACTCTTCACTAGAGAATGACCCCGGTATTAAGTACGAGGTAATTAAATGTGTGTATAATTTAGTTTGAAGTTTACTATTTAGTTATCAAAAATTAAATTAAAAAAAAAATTAATATAGGTCTTAAATCTTTGTAATTGACAATCTATAATGACCTATTTTATTTCAAAACTATTATTAATTTATGTTTTTTTAATTTGATTTAAGATATTAAATGAGATCTTATTCATAAACAGTAAACAATAGCCCACTTTATTTGGTATTTACTATTTATCTAATAAATTTATTTTTAAAAGTTAAATTAGGTTGTTTCCTAAAAGTTAAATCAAATTTGTAATTAACAAAGTATTTTCTTTTTGAAAAAAAAAACATTTAAAAACAAATGTGGGTTTATGGTAATCTTTTAATGGGTCCCACCATTTGTATTTAATATACTATGGATAAACATGTGTTAAGCTAATAAATAACAGTCTATTGAGGATGTTTAGGAGTGAAACTACCAACTTTTTGAATCCTATTTCTTGAATTAATAGAATGTCATGTGTTGGAATTGTGGTAGTGGGTTGTAGGCTTTAGCAACAACTTCCCAAAAAATGCCATGTTTCTAGCTTTCTAGAAAAATGAAAAGCCACATGTCTAAATGGTGGGGGTTGTAGGCTAGTAGTGGGATGTGGGCTTTAGCAGGAATTTTTCAGAAATTGCCACATGTTTAGTTTTCCAGAAAATGAAAAGGTCACTTGTTTGAATTGTGGTAATGGGTTATGGGCTTTAGCAGCAACTTCTCAAAAAAAAAAAAAAATGCCACGTGTTTGAATGGTGGGGGGTGTAGCCTAAAGACCTTCCTTTGGAGGGATTTCATGACAATTACTTATGGATTTGTGAAACAGGCCCCATGCGGATAGCCTATAATGTTTGCTCATAAACCTAAAAAGCTCAAATAAGCTATTGTTCAGCATTTTCAGCCAAGAAATTCACTTTCCAGTGAAGTAGGAGTGATCATTTTCAACTCAGCCTTTTTTTTTCAATTTGGTCCCTCTCTCATTGTATATAAATGTAATTTGAACAACCATTTTTCTTATCATTCAAATCCCTCTTATTAAGTATTATATTTGAGGGCTTAACACCCATTAACATTTATTGAATACTATTTTTGACTAAAATACCTTATTTTTCTATTTAGTCTCTCTTTAAGTGTAAAGGTACCAAGTGTGATTTGAGCTAGTACATTTCTCCTCATCCAATTATCTCTCATTAAGTCTTATATCAACCTAAAAATGGAATTGTTTTCTTGTTTGGTGGTGAATCAACAATTCAAGCATAAATGTGTAATCCCTTGATGTCATAATTAAATAATAAAAAATAATAAAAAATGAAAACACACAAACATATAAATTGTAGAAAATATTTGGTTATATCTGTAATATCGTATATTCATTGTATTAAACAAAAATAAGTGATAAATAATAAGAAGAAATTTTAGGTATATTAATATAGAAAATTTTGATAGCATATTATATATACATATACATTTTTTATTTTTATATGTTATATTAATATTACAATATAAATAATATATATTAGATAATATTTTATATTAGATAATATCTATATAAATATATTAAGTTGAAATGTGTACGAAATGCAAAAAATGGAATCTATAAGTAACTTTTGCCTTTTTCTCTTAGAAATTACAAGAATTCCACATAACAAACCCCTTATGTGATTAACTTGTAATTGCCCCTATGTTATTCGAAAATTACATGACTACCACATATCTTTCATCTTGTAATTGCCTTTATGGTATTTTAAAATTACAAGATTACTACATACAAGACAAACCTTCCAATTTAATTAACTCTAAGGCATTCAAAAATTACATGAATGCCACATATAAGACAAGTTTACTCTCTTTACACCAATGCCTCCATGATATTCGAAAATTACAACAATGCCATATATAATTATTTACAATTATACCATCCTACAAAATAAAATGTCATCCATCTTCTCTCTCGTTTAATTCTCTCTCTCCTCCTATTCTTTATCTCAACTTTTATTATTCATTTATATATTTTATTATTATTATCTAAGCATTTATTTATTTAATAAAGTTAAATAAATTATTTTAAATCAATAAAATAAAAAGAGATTTGACATTGGGAGAAATATTTTAATAGACATTTATTTATTTTTTTATTATTATTTAAACATTTATTTAGTTAATAAAAGTAAATAAATTATTTATAAATCAATAAAATAAAGGAGATTTGACATTGAGAGAAGGATTTTAATAGACATTTATTCATTTATTTAGAAATAATTTACTAACAAATTATTCTTTTCCCTTGAGCCCAATATTTAGGTAGGGTTGTCAATGGGACAGGTTCAACCTGATGGACCCAAACTGATTGAGTTGGTTCTAGTTCCAAGAACTAAAACCAACGAGTCGATTCTAGGTCTTGATATAGGGTCCCAATTATTATCGGTTTAGAATATATATATATATATATATATATATAAATATAATGTATAATGTATAATATTATTAAATAAATAAATTACTATACATATAATATATATAGAATATAAAATATATTATACATAAATATTTATATTCTTATTTATTATAATCGGGTTTGTCAAGTCAGACCCGATTGTCTCAATAACCAATCGATTCAGTTTCAGTCTAAAAATTACAAACCCTATCGAGTCCGGGTCTAGATCCGGATCCTCAACATTTCATGTTGGATCAGTTCCAGCTCCAACTGGCTCCAACCCAGACCTGACCCATTGATAGTCCTATATTTAGGGCTATCAATAGGTAGGTTTGAACCTAATATTTATGAGGAGGGGGTGGGGTGGGGGCAAAATGTAAGTGGAATGGAGGGCCATGGTTTCCTTGGGTCCCCTTGGTTCCCTCCTTGGGGTTGGGATTAAACGTATTCATAGGTCAAACATATTCAAGTCTAAGTTTGAGCATGACTAGACCATTGGGCCTAGATCTTGAGCCCAAGTCCGACCCCCATATAAAGCTCGAAGCTCGACCAAGAAATTGAGAAAAAAGATTTGTATTCTTTATTTAACAACAAAAATTATTTATTTATATTAAATTGACTTCAAAAGTGAATTTTTTAATTATTTATTTATTGTTTTGTTTTTATTAAATTAAATATTTTATTATCCATAATTTTTATTTATTTAATTCAACATGTGCCCAATATTTAGGATTGTCAATGGATTGGGTTTGGTTCTAGATAACTTGGACCAGTCATGTCCCAATAATAAATGAATAGTTACTTATTTATTTTATTACAATAAATAAATAATTTATTTATTTTACAAAATTAAGTAAATTATTATCCATAGATTTCTATTTATTTAATTTACTAAAAGTATTCAATTAATTAATAATTTATTTTACTAAGAAATTATTTCTCTTTCTCTCCAAGCCTAATAATTCAGGGCTATCAATAGGTTAGGTACGCATAGGGGCAGAGCTAGGGATTTTTTATGACGGAACATATTGAGGCCTAAGCTTGATTATCACCGAACGATTGGGCCTAAATCTTGAGCTCAAGCTCGATCCCATATAAAGCCCAAAGCCCAGTTCAGCTGTACCGCTAAACCTTGCTCGTCCTCGTCCATGATCACCCATAACAATTCACAGAGGGACTGGATGTGCACGACAAAGAGCAGCAAATACGGACCGACATTTTTCCACGCTCCGCGTGTCTGTAGCGGGGTTGCCAAACTGTGCAGTGCGGCTGCCTACGAGCGTCTGAACTTTTGGTCTCTACTCTCTACCCAGCGTCCCAGCCTTTTTAGGCAATAACTCTCCAAGTTCGACCCTTTCTCTTCATCCCAAGTCTCTCAAATAGTGCTGGTCTTGCTGGAGCAGAAGACGTCGGCATCGAAAAAGTGTCAATCGAGGTATAATCTCTCTAGTCTATGCTCTCTAGCATGAAAAGCAAGTAGCTCTTCATATCGAAGGGCTTACCCTAATTTGATTTTGAGTTGAACCTGTAAACTGATGCCGCCACTCATTTGATGACAACCTCGACTAAAGTTTCTCTTCCGATGAATTTCCTTTCTAGCGAGTGTGAATCTATGGACGCTTTTGTGAATCAACTGCTTCGTTATTGTTGGGGGCTTTGTTATCTGTTTGACTGACCTTGCAATTTGATGGATGGATTTTTGGGATTTGTAATAGGCTAATCAAGTATTGATATGTATATACAAATGCAGATATCAAAGATAATTAATAATAAACTATTTAAAATCTTTTTATTTTCTTTTTTTCCTGGTTTACTGCTGCACCAGGTCATTTGAATGAGAGTGACAAGTAAATAACTCTTTGGTTGCAAGGCTCCATGGTTCTTGTATATAAGTTGAAGTAGTACTTCATGGGTCACACTATCCAATTTGTAGGATCGATTTAATGGTAGATGTTATTGATAGGAAGTCTCTGTTGGATATATCCATGGAATTTAGTTATACGGTGAAGCTACTCGTATAGGTGGAAATGACACCTTGGTGTATGGTTCGATGAACTTCAAATTTTTTATCAATTAGTGAAGTTCCTGTGAAAATTTATAAAGATTAATGTGTAGTATCTAAACTAGGGATAAACTAACACGTATTATCCAAGTAATGAATTTTCAATGCATAAGAATTCTCATTCAAAGACATTTCATGCCTATATATACAAACTCCCACCGGAGATTATTTGATGAAAGGCCGTCTCACCCAACAAATTTTAAGAGAACAATCTTCTTTCTGCATTTCCAGCAGATACTTTCATTCCGCATATCCTTTTATCCTTCTTTTTACAGTTGTCAAGGAAACCCTAGCCTTCCATAAACCCATGAATCATACTTTTTTTTAACAGGGCAATCAATTTGTTGGAGTTATATCTTGGTTTAGAATGTGCATGACAAGCATATTTGACTCTATTATATCATATAATTAGTTTCTTCTTGTTCTTTTCTTCTAGAAATCATTGAACATTGTGCTTCTTGAGAAAACTATCCTTAGCACTCAGTCCCCAATATGTCTGGAGAGGAGGAAGAAAATGCTGCGGAGCTGAAAATTGGAGATGGTAAAATTGTAACCTTTTAATGTATTTTGTGTTGTTGTTTACTCATTTATTTATACTTTCACCATCCCTACACCATGGGTCTTCCCATTTTGGCGCATCATGCATGGTATTTATATAGATTTTCAATTAAGTTCCATTACTTAGGCTGACTTAATTGGGGACAAGAAGGGGGGCGGGGGAGAGGAAATGTGCTTAATTATCCATGGCCTTACCAATGATCCCTTGAACTCCATCTTTGAAAAGGGACTCTTCATTCAAGCACTTATTTTTGCTTTATGGTTGTATTTGTTATTTATAGCAAGATTGAAGTCTATTTTTTCATGTGAAATAGAATGAGGATTATGTGTCTGTGTGTGGATTCTGGGGCCTGGGGTGGGAATGAGGTAAGTCTGGGTGATTAAAGATTGTATTTAAATGAGAGAAAATTAAAGTGGAAATTGAAAAGAAAGTGTGTCCAACAACAGCATTGGAATTTATGTCATGAAAAGCTTTAAATAAGTTATTGTCTTGGTCAGTATTATCATCCAAGATGCATGCTTCATGAAGCACTTATGTCATTCATTTTCTTTATAATTTCATGTAGGATGCAGGCAGTTCACCGAAGCTGTCTTTTATTTCTTAAGTTAAGGTTGTATAGAAAATACATTCTTACTATTGCTGTCATAAAACTATGTTTTACATGTCAAAGAGACTTAAAAAATTGGCCCCTCCCTTCCCTTGTGGGTTTTTGGAGATGTTTATATTAGGCACTTGCCAAGGGTGGGACTTATTGAGGCCCGTATCTCAATGAAGGACAGCTTATCTTTGAACTTTTACTTTCTATTGTTTTTCTGTTGAAGCTTCCTGGCCATCATTGTATACATAGGGTTTTCCTCTTTGGGGTGAAGGGTGTGCTAGTAATATTTATTGAGATTGAAGAAAGGGGTTAAATTCGGTGGGGATGGGAGGAGCCTACATGTCACAATGGAGGATTTGACGGTTGACTCTGATGATATTCTTCAAGGTTGCTAGGGATAGATAAGTACAGCAAGGTGAAGAGGAATAGAGATATTGAATATCATTTTGGCAGGGGTCTTTAAGTGAGGCAAATCAAGACAGTAGTTGCCTAGTTGGTTTTAGGCTTGGGGGAAAAAAGAAAAGTTAAAAGGGGGGCTTGTAATCCACTTCTTGAATTTTGTGGAATAGGTAGGGGTCATACTTCAAGTTTTTCTTGGGCATCATAGGTTGTATTATGGCTGCAGAAAAATGTTTTTTAGGCTGGTTCCTTAGATTGCTATACCACTGTTATGTCAAGCTATGTACTGTTTATAATCAAAAGAAGGGTGAAGAAATTGATGCCTGCCATGCCAATCATCATTATGAAAATTCCTAAACTTGGTCCCTAAAAATGAAAATCCTTGAGAATGGAAGGCCAAGGAACAAAGCTGCTCAGTCTTCCCAATGACTTGACAATTCAGTTCCCCAACCTATCAAAAATCCACTTATTTTGTTCCTTCCAACTAAATGGAAAATGAGACCAACTCCAGAAGATAACCTGCCGATGCTGCTAAATCCCTTGATAGGTCATGCTTGAATAACATTTGAAATACTCCTTGGCTTATTTCAATCACCTATTATGACCAAAATGTTTCGTGAAGTAGATTGAATTGTGAAGCCATCCATTTTTTATGGATAGTTTTTAAGTCATCCATTCATTCTGAAAATTGAGACGTTTAACATGTATCTGCTGGTTGTATGCATATAGACTCGTAGACATGCATATCTGACTTAGATTTTTTGTTGTTACACCACACAACATTTGCCTTGCATTTACATTTGCACTTTTAACATTGAAGAGCTGTGTTCTTTTCAGAATTTTTAAAGGCCAAGTGTTTAATGAATTGTGAAGTAGCTCTAATTCTTGATCGGAAATATGAGCAGCTTCAGCAGATGTCTGATGATCCTATGAATCAAGTTTCCCAGTGAGTGTTAGGCTAATTTTCCCAGCATCTTGTCAACTTTAGGGTGAAATTTCCCAATTTAATTCTGCAGCTTCAATCTATTACCACCTATCACACCATTGGAATGTGATCACTGTTATCTTGATTTTCAGAGTATTCGAAAAATCACTGCAGTATGTGAAGCGCTTTAGCCGCTACAAAAATCCTGATGCAGTTAGGCAGGTCCGAGAGTATCCTCCAAATTTTTAGAGGAAAGTTATTGAAGTCACATTATGCAATTTTATCTGTTGACAAAATTCTATAGTGCAATCTATTTTGTAGGTTACTGGAATTGATTGACTGGTCAAGTGTTATATCTTGCCTTTATATTGTATTTTGGTGAAATAGTACCTTAATGAGATTTAGCCACAAAACATATGATTGACTGACAAAGCAATCATGAATTCTTGATGAGGTTGAGACTATGAGATGATCACATTGAACTTTGCACTGCTACCACGATATCATGGGATCTTTTATTGTTATGAATTAGTCTTATGGGTCATTATGCCATATGCTTTAAGAACTAAGAAGAATTTGGAAACAAGTTGTCAAATATTGAAATGAACGCATTGCTAATTGATTTCCTGTGAAGTTGTGATTTCTTATGCTTTTTATGCTTTTTATGCTTTATTGCCCCTTTAACCCTCACTTTTCTCCAATATGAGCAATTAGATTCTTAACTGACCCTCAGAATCCTTAGTAGATACCAATTGGCTGAATTTGAGGTAATGTAACAGACCATCCACTAAATAGAAATCTTTTATTTTTTCTATTCTCATATGAAAACCATCTTGGTTTATTTAACTCTTTTGTTTGTCCATTGCAGCTTTGTGTACTTGGCAATCTTTGTCCTGAAACTGTGGAGGAAGCCATAGCTATGGTTCCATCTATTAAGGTAAGATCATTTATAAACCCATCCATTTTTTTTTTTTCAACTTGATCCATTCTTGCAAGATGATTAGTGATTTTACAGGAAAATGTCATTCTTGCAGTGTTTTACATAAATATATACATGCATGGCAATACACATTTATATGAGAGCGTGAGAATATAGGTTCAAGTCTGAGAGCAGCCAGTTAAGCACGAAGAAATGCTGAAGGCTAGAACTGTATCCAGTCCACCCTCCCAAAAACCCTGGATAGTTGGAACCAATATTGGGTAATGGCCTTCTACAATGTTAGAGGCAATCCCCAAGAAGCCATGGTGTGTTGGAATCCTAAATCGAACACAGACACTTCATCCATTAAGGAGAGTTTATATTACACTGGTTTGAAGCAAATTGTGGTGTTGGGAAAGAATGATAAGACATGCTCCTATTTACTAATCACATGTAAAAAACTAATCTATTTCAAGGAGGGAGGGATGAGGGAAGGAAACCAATAAGAAATGCAAACTGAAATATTTGATGAACATCTTTTCTGGATGGCTGGGGTCAACATTGGGTAATGGCCTTTTACCACCTTTCTAGATAGAAACCTATCCTTGAAAACTTTCATTGTCTCTGATGTAGGATGACTATGACCAAGTGCGAGTATAGGAAAGTATTCATCGACTAGAATATGGTTTAGGGAATGCTTCATTGACTCAGGATGAGGGTTAAAAAGGTTCTCAGTTGTAACTGCTAACTGCAAATTCTGTTGGGTGGGAAAATAGAAAAAATTTTAAATTAATCAGAGGGGAATTTTTTTTATTGAAATTTATAGAGATATTTAGAATGACAGATTATATGGGCTGATTTAAAACAAATACAGTCTGAACAGTTTTTCCACAGATGGAGTGATGGACAAAAAATTCTTTTCATGAGAGAAATTGCCGAATTTCCAGAAACTATGGTTTTACATGGAGTTTTGGGATGAATTTTAGTATGAAGATCTATAGGAGGTATTCAAATRTGGAGCAATGGGAGATTGTTTGGCATAGAAGGACGAAAATGACTGAAATAGGAAAGAAAATTCAGTCTTGGATATAAACTAAAGAAAAGCATACCTGGATGAGTTTCGGTCCATTACAGATGTTGAATGAATTTTGATGATGAATGTAATATCTTCTTACAAAATTAGAGAGAATATAGAGAGAAAGAAGAGAGATAAAACCCTTAAATCAATCAAGGCCTCCAATCACTCTAGGATATGGGAATCATTCACCACTCTTAAAATTAATCTATTAGAATTTGGTTAAACTCAACTAATTGATATTTAAAATGTTACATATTTATAGATTGTAGACCAATAAAAGTTCTAATTGACTTAAGAGAAATAAGGTACAAGATTGCCACTATCCTACTTTAATTCAAAGGAACTAAATCCTAAACTACTTACGCAATGATTCTGAAGCTTTAAGTATAAACCAATGATAACTAGACAAATCAAACTCTTGGACAGCATGTACAATGACCAAAATACCTCTATTTGCTAAAATATAAAAAACTATTAGTGGTCAAAATCTTGTATCTAACTTGGCTCCAACATAAGTTTTCCTTGCAAATTCTACAAGAAACTTCAAGGAGTGTATATTTCCACGATATTTTACCAGGCATCCCAAAGCCCTACTATTCATGGGTAAGCATCAGTGAACCATAATACTTGGATACCTTCAAATGCATAGCATTCCTATATTGGGCATGATACACAAATACACAATATCACAGGAGTTTATTAAAAATGCCTTCTTTTTTTTTTTGGTATTACATACTACACATTACAGGGGAATCAGGGGTGGGGCAGAGCAGGGTGCACACCCACTGGTCATACCACGGAGAGTATACTTTATGGCACTAGCACTTCTAAAATATGTAGGAAACATTTTTAAACAAATCATACCATCAAAAACATGTATTTATTAGAAGCTTAATTAAATTTAGCAAGATGAAAGAACTGAGAAATGGCACTTCAAAAACCAGGTAGAAATGCATGATATAGTCCTGTATAGCCCTGTTTCCCAAACCTCTTTTTGTGTCACCATCCATATCTGGGCATAGCCCATGAAACATCATATACCCATTTGGAGGTTGGAGCTTCAGATGGTTCTGTTTAGGGAGAGTTGACCACTCCCTCAAGGAGTTGGGTTTTTTTATTCTTTTTTTCGTGGTTGTATGGAGAAAAAAGGAGAAATGAAGAAAGGCAGCAGGAGTCTGGTACAACCATATTGGCATTTTCAGTTAAAGAATGTTATTTGGTGTATTTCCCTTATTAAGCAATGAGATTCGTACTGTCAATTATTCATTGGCTCATAGTGAAACCTTAAGGTTTTTGCTTACAATCTCTTTTTTCTTCCTTCCCTCATTGTCTTTCTCCAGCCAGTAAGTGAGAAACACGGTAGAGATCTCATCAGTATTCTTAGACTGTTGACCCAGGCAGTTCAACTGATAACCTGGATAGGTGACCTGGTCCCAGGTTTGGATGATTTGACCATGTTAACAGACCAACAACCTGGATGAACTGTCGAAGTTGCCACCCAAACAGCTTTCTGGGTCAATGGACAGTCTGGGTTTTAAAATAGGGTTCTCACATGAGAGCCATCTCACCTGATCACCGCTCCCTTTAAAATCTATTGTTGCATTATCTGTTTTCTTTTTGCTTTTTCCTCGTTATAAATTTTAAAAGACATGAAATATTGTTAAAGCTACTGCTATATTTCACATGCTGATTAGCCGTGCTTGTTTCTGCTCTTTTGTTAATTAAGAAATTTACTTATTTTGCAGACCAGAGGACGTATGCACGATGATGATCAAATTGAGAAAATGCTGACTGACCTCTCATTGATCAAGAAATTTGAGTAATAGCCTCACAGTGTTTCTCCCTTGCAGTATCCCTTTTATAGATGCTAAGACAAATCCCATCATTTGCAGTGTGATGGCTATAAAGACCTCAAGGAGTAAAAGAACTTAGCTATTCTTGTGCAATTATTTGTGGCTTATAATAGGGACCGGATTTATGTAATTATCTATACACTTCTTTGTATGTTTGTTATATCCATGTTTGTACATGTGGAGGATCTGGATTGGCTATTTACGAACCCCAGGCTAGGAAAAGTAAAAACAGTACAGTCAATTCTCGCCATATGAGCCCATATGATCTACTTCCTACCACCAAGAGATAAGCATGCCAATGCTGGAGAAGCTCATATAAATCTCAAAAATATATTAATACTATTATAAAACCTACGACTGATCATCATAAATGAGAACAAAAGAATCATATATTTCTTTGATATGACCAAAAGATACTAAGAAGTTTGTACAAAATAATTGCAAAAGTGTTCTCTTAGGATAAAGAAAGTCCTCCCTATTAAAGGGAAGATAGATAAATGATCAAATCCTAATTGCGAATGAAAGCTTGGACTTATGCCCTAGTTGAATGGTCTTTTCTGTTGGAGGTGTTGAGATGCTTTGGATTTTGGGATAAATGGTGCAAATGGATATAGGACTATGTTAGGAGTTGTCACTATTCCATTCTGGTAACTGTGGTAGACTTCTTCCCCACTTTAAGATGAATAAGGCAAGGTGACCCACTTCCCCCTTTTTGTTCACTTTAATTGTGAATGTTCTTAGAAGATTAATTCATAGAGGATGGAGAGTAGGAAGGGAGGAAGTTCTTAGAAGATTTGAGGAATTTGTTAAGAGGATGGAGAGTAGAAAGGGAGGAAGTTCCACTTACACACAATTTGCAGGTGATACAACTCTATTTTGTGAAAGTGTGGACATAAATTGGATTAGAAACTTAAAATTGGCAATACAACTCTTCGAATAAATGTCTAACCCCAAGTGAACTTTGATCAGAGTTATATAATAGGGATCAATTGGATTAGGAACTTACCTGTTTACTTCCTGTTAATGTTTAAGATTCCAACCAAGTCTCAAACATGTTGGAAAAATTAATGAGGCACTTATTATGAGAGCTAGGAGAGGAGAAGAAGGATTATAGGGTGGGTTGAGAGGTGGTAACTAGAAGTAAAAGCCTAGGTCTTGGGATAGGGAATATTAGGAAAAAAAATGACTTTGCTAGGGAAGTGGTTGTGAAGATTTCCTTTGGAAATGGATAAATTATGGACAAAGATAGTAACTAGCATTCATGGGCTGGAGGACAATGGCTAGGATCCTGGAATTCTGGCAAGAGCTACAGTTGCATCTCTGTGGAAAGCCATCCATAATATACTTCTAGTATTCTCTCATTGGACAAGTATGGCTTGAATTCAGGTAACCTAATAAAATTTTGGGAATAAACTTGGGTTGGGGGTTCCCTTTTGATGGAACAGTTCCCCTCTTTGTATCTCTATCAAACCTAAAAAATGAATCTATCTCTTCCTTCCTAATTCCTTCAGATTCAACTTCTAGCTTTAGGTGGAACCTAAGCATGAGAAGGGCCATTAGGTATGCAGATTTGAACTACGTTTTGACTTTGTTAAACATCCTTGATAATTTTTTTTCCCTTCACCCCATTAAGGAAAATATTAGAATCTGGACCCCCTCCTCCTCGAGTGCCTTCTCTTGCGCTTCTTTTTTTGAAAGCTTAACTCATTCTCTTGCTCCTCTCGGATTGCCCTTCCCTATTAAAGAAGTTTGGTCCTCCTCAGGTTGGTAGTTTTTGTTGGAAGACTTTCTTAGAAAGAATCAACACAAATGACCTACTTCAAAAAAAGAGACCAAATTCTTATTTATCCCCAAATCGGTGTTCTCTCTCTGCAAGGTTGATGGGGAAACTGGCTACCTCCTTACGGTTACTTGCATGTTTGCTAAATCTATTTGGGAGTGGACTTTCTCCCTTTTTGGGTGTAATTGGAACCCCCCTTTGAATGTGTTCAATTTCCCTACCTTTCCCTTCTCTTCCCTACTTTTTCCTAAAAACCAAACACAACCTAAAGGACAGCAAGTCGACAACCACACCATCCCGTTTCTTCATTTTAATAGCATTGCCATTGTTGTGTGGTTAGATTTTGTTAGTAGCAGTCTCTTCAAACAAGAACGGAGAACTCGATGGAACCTAGGGTTTTTTTATCCTCAAGTTTGGAAAATAAATTTTTTCTTCTATGGGTCTTCTTGTTTTTTGGATTTTGAGAGAGGGGGGGGGGGGGGGGGAATTGATCAATGGGATTTTGGTTCCTATTGACCAAAAAATCCATGTTCCTTTTTCAGATTTATGTGGGGCCATGGAAAAATTATTTTTCCCTATTAGTATCATTATACCCATCACCCATGTGGATAAATAACTTTCCTATGGGGAAAGTTGTCAATGCTTAGGATAAAATTACCCCTTTTAATAATAACTTTTTATGGCTAAAATGGTCATATAATAATATGGAAAATAAAAGAACATGGATAAATGCACTTACCCAGGTAAATAGTACCTTACCAAAAAGCAAACAGAGCCTTTATTTAAAGAATTTGAAGCAAACATCTTGAATGGACTAAATCAACTTGGTCTGATGGGGTTCTCTGCTTATGGGCCAGAACTTCCCTGCTGGGATGAGGGCATGGCTGGGCCCGGATCTGCTGCAAGCAAAAACTCTGGCACACGGCATCCAATCACACATCTTCCAGGTACATTTATGTGAAATTTCCAATATGCGACCGTATGCCCCTGTTTTCAGAGTGTAGAGTTTTTGCTTGCAAGAGATCCTGTCATGGCATGACGGATTCCAGTTCAGGACCTTCGTGCCAGGAACCAAGCTGCAGGTTCATGTACCTTATGACGGTTTCTGAAATAATATGTTCAACCTGGAACGTTGTACACAGACAGAAAACTAGAAAAGAATGCAGCAATAAACCAACAATCTAAGAAAGAGTGAAAGACTGGAATGGGCCTGATTCAGTTAGTTGTTGCCTGGTTGGCATATGAGATACAGGTGTAAGGTACACCCATCAACTACAGGTTCTTTCTACAGTTGAGGATAGTAAGGCCGCCCTTCCAATCTACATGCTGGGAGCCTGGGACACAACATTCTGGCCGTGATACCATTTTTTTTTATTGAAATAGTGAATCTAGTGACACCAACCTTTTACCTTCTCAGAGAGAACATAACACCAGTATTGGCCACGATATGCCGTAAGCCAGGAAAGGACCCGATTGAATAACATAAACCATTAAACTAACCGTAATCATTTGCAAGATTGCTATTGGTTGCATTTTGTTTATTAGGGGAAAACTAATACAGAACCACAATCAAGGTTCAAAGTATCGGAAACGTAAGGTGTATCTGAAAGATAATTTTAAGAGACATATTGGGATACGCTTTGGATACGTATAGATACAGACAAAAAATCAAGATATGCATAAATATGCTAAAAAACTTAAATAAATACTAAAAAATATATTAATAACGATAGTTACAAGTTTTAGATAATTGTAAATAAGTTATTTAAAAGTAAAAAACTGTAATTTAATGGTCTATATAAAATTTGAGATATCAAGACACACTTAGTAACTATTGACAAATGATGGAATAATTAAAACGTGAAAAAACAAAAATGTGTATTGTTATACATTAGTTTTAAAATAATCAATATAATTTATCTTAATATTTATTAATACATAAATTTTAATAATTAATTCTAACATTTATTGATAAGTAACTATTAAAAATAAAAATGCATAAACAAATAACAAGCAAATGGGCGTGGCTTAGTTGTGAACCTCTAGTTCTTAAAGCCTAATGTTTAGGGTTCGAATCTTGCTATTGCTAATTTGTAGTTTTATGCTAACAAAACGAATTTAATGAGAAAGAGGATTATTAGTTAATGAAATTAATGAGAAGATAATTCCAATTAAGCGCTACAACTGAAATTCAAATTTAAAATTATGCATTAATTATAGGAGTAATTAACTAATTAATGAGAGAGAAATTCATTTAAATATAGGAGTAAATATATAATTAATGAGAGGTAATTCGGCACTAAATATAATTTAATGAAATTAATGAGAGAGAAGGGGACTTGTATCAGGCTGTATCAGACTGTTTCGGAACCGTATTGGCCAATTCAAACCCAAAACAATCCAATACAGGGCCCAAAATGATCCAATACAGACCGATAAATACGAAAAGGAACACTACAAATAATTTCTATTCATTCCATGTATCGGATTTGTACCGGAACGATACCTATCAGCCGATATACGTTACAAAATTTTGAAACTTGACCACAATTGAAGAGTTCCAAGTTCAATCATTATTAATTATACTAATGTTTTGAATAAATATGAAATGCTAAACTAGGCCGAATTTGTAACCCCCACCCACCCACACACACACCTTTTCATCCAAATTGAGCTGTAGGCACCACTCCTATCTGCATTGCAAGCAACTATTGACTTTGTTATACAGCAACACTAAGGGACATGATATATAAAACCCGGGGCCAATCACGAGAAGTAACTCTGTCGAGCTGAACCATGCAAGGGATTTTCAAATTGTATTATGATAGCCTCTTCCGACACTGTCCAGTCATCGATGTTGGACTTCCCATCACTTGACCGTTGAGAACAGTTCTAAAACCAGAAAATGGCAAATAAGGACATATGGCTGAAATTAGAATAACAAAAAAATCATTTGATAATACCATCGAAAAAGTACACATGCTTCACTGATGTCCTAAAGCCACATGCAGAATGTGTCACAGGGTGGACACCTGTTTTGGATATGGCTTGATTAACATGTTGTATCCCGGCCAAATTCTTTTAGGCACAGTTTGGAAGGAGTACAAATACAAATATATACAAAATAATATAAAACATAAGGTTTTGTACTCTACAAATTTGTATTTGTAATCCTTCCAAATTGAGTCTTAGGGGAAAATTCCCCATTAGTAGTACCCTGTATTTTGGGCCAAGTATAACTGTGGTCCCTGAACTTTAAAACACAACAATTCAGTACCCAAACTTTCAAAATTCGCCAATTTAGTACCTACTGTTAACCATCTGTTAAGTGGCATTTGAAAACACACAAATGCCCTTCAAGTGTCATCTAATTTTCTTTATCAACTATTCAAACATTGATAAAAAAAAATGAACAGTTTCAAATCCTTACCTCTTTTATTCAAGAAAGTTTGGGTCACCAGAATGCCCATTGAGATGTGACCCCAACTTTCTTGAATAGAAGATGCAAAGATTTGAGACTTCATTTTTTGTCAATGGATGGTTGATAAAGAAAATTCGATGACACTCGAAGGGCATTTGTGTCTTTTTAAATGCCACTTAACGGCTGGTTAACAGGCTGATTAGTGGTAAGTACTGAATTGACACGTTTTGAAAGTTCGAGTACAGAATTGTCACGTTTTAAAGTTCAGGCACTAGGCCCAAAGTACAGGGTACTAATTTGGGATTTTCCCTTTTTCTAGGTTTATCTTGGAAGAATGCAAATATAAGGTTTAGAAATATTATATACAAGGTTTTGCACTGAACATATTTGCATTTGCACTCTTCCCAAACTGAGCCTGAAGGTAAAATCATTCTTGCAAGATGATCAGTGGTTTTACAGGAAAACATCATTCTTGCAATGTTTTACATAAATATATTACATGCATGGCAATATACATTTATATGAGAGCGTGAGAATATAGGTTCAAGTCTGAGAGCAGCCAGTTAAGCACGAAGAAATGCTGAAGGCTAGAACTGTATCCAGTTCACCCTCCCAAAAACCCTAGATAGTTGGGACCAATATTGGGTAATGGCCTTCTACAAGGCAATCCCCAAGAATCCATGGTGTGTTGGAATCCTAAATCGAACACAGACACTTATCCATTAAGGAGAGTTCATATAACACTGGTTTGAAGCAAATTGTGGTGTTGGGAAAGAATGATAAGACATGCTTCCTCCTTGATCTCTTTCAAGGAGGGAGAGATGAGGGAAGGAAACCAATAAGAAATTCTGGATGGCTGGGGTCAACATTGGGTAATGTTGACTAGAATAGGAAAGTATTCATTGTCTAGATAGAAACCTATCCTTGAAGACTTTCATTGTCTCTGATGTAACATGACTATGACCAAGGGTGAGTATAGGAAAGTATTCATTGACTAGAATACGGTTTAGGGAATGATTTATTGACTCAGGATGAGGGTTAAAAAGGTTCTCAGTTGTAACTGCTAACTGCAAATTCTGTGGGGTGGAAAAATAGAAAAATTTTTAAATTAATCAGAGGGAAGGAAATTTTTTGTTGAAATTTATAGAGAGATGTAGAATGACAGATTGTATGGGCGGATTTAAAACAACTACAGTCTGAACAGTTTTTCCACAGATGGAGTGATGGACAAAAAATTCTTTTCATGAGAGAAATTGCC